TCCTGCTGCCCGAGCCTCCGCGAGCGGCTCGCCGGCGCTCAGCGCGCGCCCTGCAGGCCCCGGCCGCTGCCGTCCGCAGGCCAGGTGCCGCACCGCCCAGTGCCAGCCGGGGAGCGGGCGCCGCTAGGGGCCGGTCCGAGACCGGTGCTTTCCACGTGGGCACCCTTCTGCGTTGCAGAATGGATGGGAATGCTCCCTTTTTAGAGTGGAGGAGACCCCGGCTTAGGTTAGGACTCCAATCCTCTTCTGGAATTGGTGCATGGCCTCGCAGTTGGCAGAGCCCGTCACATTCAGGGGAAGCACTGAAGCTCCATCTCAGGCTGGGAGGAAAGCACCAGGGGACCAACTGGCCCAGGTGCGGAGGCTTGAGGAGAAAGGCAATGAGTTCAAGTTTACAGAAGTGTGAAAAGGCAAAGGAAGGACTCAACCTTGGGCCAATGGAATCCGAGTTTCCTGCGCCTTCCCTTAGGGAGGGTCCGTCCCTTGCCTTTTCATCCCACTTTGAGTGGGTGTGTGTGTCTGCCTTGGAGCGGAGGTGGGGGCAAGGGAGGAGCCAAATAGCCCACCTTTCTGTGCTCAGGTGGTATCACGGGACCTAGAGGACCATTGGAAAGGCGAAGCCGTCCTTAACATTCTGCCTGTGTACCACCCGTGTATCTTGTGCAATCAAGCCTCAGCTTCCTCATCTTCTGCAACAGGCAAATGTCCCAACACAGCCAATGTTTTTCAAATAGAAATTCTTACTGTAGGAGTTGAACAAAGAGGCAGTTTAAACTTCCAGTACCCCCAGGACTTAAGCCATGAGCATCCATCTAGGAATGAGAAAGCTGAAAGAAAGGGCTGGCTGCCAGACTCCAATACACTTTAGCTGGGGGCTTTCCTGTTCCTCTGCTTCTCCTCTCTCATAAATACCTTCTGAGTCAAGGTGTTCCCCTATTTCCTGTTTGTTGGCTCCAAACTCTCCAAAGATTCCAGAGAGCTTACTCACTGGACCCTTGACTCCAACCTGCCTCCTGAAGGCATTCCTGTGTTCTCCTAGTGCCTGTGGCAATTTCTCCAAAGTCTCCTCCGCCACTGAGATGGTGAGCAAGAGGGAAGGGTGATGGGAAAGAACCACATGTATCATCTAGTTAATGAATCTTCAAAAAAAAAAAAACAGTCTTGTGTATGGAATCCCCACTCTGCTGAGGAGGTTGCCAGAATTTTATGGTCCTTCCTTCATTCATCTTGCTGGGTTTGACCACTCTGACCATGAACAGCCTTGCCTTTGTAATTCCGAGGCGCCCCAAAGAATCATGCTGTTATTATTTTTCTCCACCAAACCTCTCTCATTCTGGCTCATTCCACTGATGGAAAAGCTCCAGTTTGGAGCTGAGTGTGTACTGAATGCTTTAAATGTTCAGTATGCCAGAATTTGCACTTGGGTCACCTGCCCAGACTTTTTCTCTAGGGATTGACTCTCTTTTCAGATAAGACTCAGAGTCCAGAGTTAATCAGTGCGCTTGTGGCAGGTTTTGAAGCACACTAGGCGAGGCAGTCCTGCTGTGTGGCTGGGGACAAAGTGCCAGGAGGCTTTGCTATAGATCATCCTTAGGTTCCATGTCATTCCCACGTCATCTTATAAATGTCCATTAAACTCCTGTCTTTGGATGCTTGCTCTCAATTCGGTATTCTGGGGAAAACGGCAGATGGATAAGCCAGGGTTCTTATTCCTGAAAGCTCACAATGTTGTACAGGACACAAACTTAATATATGACACTATAATACAAGGTAGAATGTGGTACATGTTAGATTCTAGTCAAAGTAGTGTAGAAATGAAGAGCCTGCAAAGGTGGCTTCTGGTAGAAGAATCTTGGAAAACCGTAGAGAAGAACTGGCACAGAGTCAAAAGCTTAGAGTCTGTAGCCATACCAAACTTCCTTCAGATCCTCAAATCTGAGCAAGTGCTTTCGAATCTTCTGCATATCCTTCTGCTTTTATCTCCCTCTGTAAAAACCCTGTGTGTCTTTATAGAAAGCATTAATTGACATCTCAGAGGTGCTTGAACGTTGGAATCATCTGAAAGGCAAAAAAAGCTGAAGGAATCAACTTTGGATTCAACTGAATTCAGTTGGAATCAACTGAAAAGGCAAAAAAGCTGATAATTGGCTCTCACTCAGAGAGATTCTGATTTAATTGGTCTGGGTATGGCCTCAGCATTGAGATTTTTTTTTTTTTTTAAGTTTCCTAAGTGATTCTAAGATGAATCCAAGATTGAGAACTACCAGCCTAGTGTCAATGCCATAGCCCAAAGAGTAAGCCCATGGGTCAGGACTCCAGGTGCCATGGAGGATTCATGAGTCCGAGATGTGCCAGTCCTCATATCCTCAGATATCTGTTCCCCCAGAAGGACATTCTAATCTCCCCTTTAAGGCTGGATCAGAACAAATGTTCATGACCATATTGGGATAAGAGCCATGTAAGATGGAGAAATTGATACCAGGCAAGGCTCTAACTGATGGCATCAACGTGTGTTGAGGAAGGCAGTCCTCTCTGGGTCTCTCACACTCTGGAATGTCTTGGGTGTGCCAAGAATGCACTTTCTCTTTACCTGCGTCATATCTTCGACAACTGGGTGCCATGTCAGAGTTTTGGACTCACTAAGACTGGGATGGGGCTCCAAAATGTGTATTTCTAACAAGTCCCTTGGTGATTGGTTCTTTCCTTCCTTCCTTGAACCCTAATAAGTTCCTGAGGCTTTTTGTGCAAGGATCATACTTTGAGAATCACTTCGTTAATACAATTTCTTACAGAGAGTGATTCTCAAATTTCGTTGTGTATCCAAAAACTAGTAAAAGACACAGAGGCCCTGGCTTTTTGAAGTGGAATCATGTATGGACCTTAATGTTTCTACCATGTCCCCCAGGGGTTCTAGATCCACCAAAGTTTGAGAACCACCGATTTAGTTAGTGCTGTTCCCCCCATCCCCAAGGAGACATTGTTGTCACAACTAGGGAAGAGTACAGTTGTACACCCGGCTTCTAATGGATAGAGGCAGGATGCGGTGCTAACTATTTCATGATGACCAGGAGAGCCTCCTACAACAAGAATTACCCACCCTAGTGTATCAACAGTGCACAAGTTGAGAAACCCTGGGCTAGAACATGGCTTAAGCACAGCAAATCTTATTCAGTTTCCTTACATTATGAATGAGGAAACTTAGGCCCATGGGTCACGTACCTAGGCAGTGGCAGGAACAGCAGGATTCATTTGATATATTGACAAAGTAAAACATGCCTGCTGCACGTCTGGGACACTGGATGATAGTAGCTTTGTGAATTTTTTAAAAAGGGAAAAGATGGGGCGCCTGGGTGGCGCAGTCGGTTAAGCGTCAGACTTCAGCCAGGTCACGATCTCGCGGTCCGGGAGTTCGAGCCCCGCGTCGGGCTCTGGGCTGATGGCTCAGAGCCTGGAGCCTGTTTCCGATTCTGTGTCTCCCTCTCTCTCTGCCCCTCCCCCGTTCATGCTCTGTCTCTCTCTGTCGCAAAAATAAATAAATGTTGAAAAAAAAATTAAAAAAAAAATAAAAAGGGAAAAGAAACAAAAATGCATGAAAGTAAGAAAAAATGAAGAGGTGGAAAAGGGACCCATTGGAAGTGACAGATGTTGGAGTTTCTGCTAAGATGGGCACTGGTAGAGTGCAATTTTGCTTTTGTTCCCCATTCCTTACAATTCAGAGGACAGCCAGAGCACAAGAGAATCCATCCAAAAGCCTTAAAAGGGATTCCATCACTTCCTTTTTTATTATATTTGGAATGAATCTTGACAGAAGCTTGAATTTCCTTTTGACTTCTGTTTACAAGTTGACAGTATTATCCTACCCACTTGCTTTAGGAAACCCCCAGCAGGAAGGAATTCAGGAAAAAAGGAGATCTTCAAATGCTTCTTATTTCCCCCAAATCAGCTCAATTTTTCAAAGCTGACTTCTCTCTTTCCTGCAAAATCCTTATGGTACAATGAAAAGTGTACTCAGACTTCAGCAGCAGACTTAATCAACACTTTCCGTAAGCAAATCTCATAGTAGTTTGTTTTGATCATGTGTAACCGGGGCTCTCGCTTGCCCCAAACATTTTTGATTCCTTTAAAATGAAAGGAATAATTCTCACTATGCAACAACCCAACCCTGTTCAGCTGCTGTTGATGCTGGCGACAAGGGAGCTGTTTGGAATACTTTTTTTATTACACAAATAGGATCATCTGAAGACTTTTTTTTTTCCTCCAAATAAGTTAATGTGAAAGGCAAACCACCAACAATCTATCACCATAAGAAAAAAAAAGTCCTCCGTGGACGGAGAGGTGTTTTTTTGTTTTTTTTTTTTTTTTTATAAAAATTAATATTTAACTTACATTTAAAACCGAGCAGGAGTTGCCACATTCCAGGACTCTCTGTTCCCTTCCAATTTCCTTAATAGCTCTGTCCCTGTGCTTACCTTAATTCCTAATCAAGCACTACAATTCCAAATCAAACAAAACACTGCAAACTCTCAGTCCCCACTCTCCTGTCATGGAGGCATTCTAAATTCATTCCTCCTGAGACTTGCATTTTAGTTGAATGAGAAAAAAGTGACATAAGAATGCTAATTATCCCCAAATAATTTAAGCTAAAAACAGTTCAGAACAAGATCAAGAGAACTGGGTATATCCTCTGTATTGGTTATTGTGCCAGAAACATGTAGTCATTTAACTTTCGAGTTCCTTTTTGGGAAAGACATTAGTCCTGTCATTTTACCAGTGAGAAAAACGAGACTTCTAAAAGAGGAACAATTTGCCAAAGGCTGCCAGTTTACAAGTTGCAGGCCCAGGGCTGAAGTCTGTTTACTGTTTCTCGCGCTGTACTTAATGGCCACTCCCTACTCCTCAAATATCTTCAAAGCTCCTGTCAAAATTCTGCTTTGGTTAAATTTGTACGAAGCACATTTTTTTTCTTCAGTCACCAACTTTGTTTTATGTACCTCATTCAGCTAGAGTCACAGACTCACGATTTTTTTTTTTTTTTTTTTTTTTTTTTTTTTTTTTTTTTTTGCAAAATAAATACGGACAAGGTGCATGTGTGTAAAACTATATGTATTAGCCAGAAGCTGAATATGA